AAAGAATCAAAACCACTAAACATTGCTAAAAGTTGTGATTCTGGTGAAAGGGTACAAAACATTTCGAATTATTGTATGCCTAACATATGTGACAGGTTAGAACATAATGTAGATCTGATACTTTTCATTTTCTCACAGAAGAAAACAAGGTGTAACACAATATAGTTAGTGGGTAATTCACATTTATTACACGTTACTTCATAGCTTCTTGAGAAAAATTTAGAAAGAAGTTTGAATGCATAGACACATTGAATCTGATATGTTTTATACTGGTGTCTGAATCTTCATAACATACAAGGTTCATACTTTGAGTGCAAGCGGGAGAAACTAGATAGACTGGCATCGCATAATATTCTATTTAACAGTTTTGCGAATGGCTGATTTTATCGTGTTTTTCCATGCGTATGAGGATTGTATAGTTCCATAGAACGAAGTTAGTCCATACCGACCTAATATTTTGTATAAATCTGGGATAAATCCAGACACTTTTCTCGGTTCCAGCATGTACGATGTAAGTCAACCATTAGGTCATACTGTCCGTCTGAAATGAGACTTTAAAGCAGATAGCAAAAATATACAATGAACGCATGATAAAACATTCACATACCAACACGATTCATTCTGTCAATCTTATGAATACTGCAGTTTCGCAATGACTATCTTTAATAGGTTTATCTTAGTATTGCGCAAAAGTTGCTTCATTTGACCAGCTACTTTCATAATTTCTTCATTGGAATTGCAAAACATTTAACTCTTGATACAGATGCTCTTCCTGTATTATGAGATTCAAATCTTTTTCTGCAATGCCTGGTAAAAACATATCTGATTTTTAGCCATCTACTTATAGTACTTATTGTGATAGAAGTAAAAGCTTTATGTGGTTTCATATCACTAACAAAAAGTCTTGCTTCACTTCTCGAATATGTTCAGTATTCATTTTCAATTGAACAACTGGATTATCTCTTCCATTCTAAGGCTATTTTAATAGCCCACAATAATGTACAGTAAATGAATCCCCGTCTTGCCTAAGACCATAAATAGTTATTAAACTTAATAAATGAGACCGACTTGCTAGAGTAAGAGCTATTAACATAGCTAACTTCCAAGTTAGCTGTTTCAAAGACAACATATTAACTTGAGACAATGTTTTTAAATAACACAATACCTTTGAAACATCACAAGTTTCATTATATTTACTTTTTGCTTGACATAAATATTAAACACACCTGTCATAAATTTCACCACTAATGGATATGCATCTGCTGTAAAACCATCTTCAGTAACACATAATGAAGATAATGCACTTCTAGCTGTATTTAAGCTATCATACGTGTAAACGGAATGGAATAAATCTGTCAAATGTCAAAAAACTTGTCTACAGTAACTTGATGTCCTTTTACTACAGAATTCCACCCAGTTGTGGATATACGATGAATATTGTTTTTTGGTGGAATGTCTTCATGATGCCATTATGATGTCGGTAGACTCTGATGAAATCTTTCTATTTTTGAACACTAGTAATTCCCTGACAAACGACATATCATAAAGTGTAGATGACCTACTAGTGGCTGATCTCTCTTTTTATTGGGCAAAATAAGTGTGTATATTGTCACTTTCAAAACACAAGACACTTATATTAACAACTGCATTACTGCTGGATATCAATACTGTGTTATCCAAAGAAGAGGTGCCACCAGAATCATTTTCCCTTTGTCTTCCCTCAGTCTCGGTACTGTTCTACCAACTAAACTGAAAGGAGGAAATGCAAGAATAAATACATCTGGCCAACTCAAAGGAAAAGCATTATTTGCCTTCGCTTCTGGAGCTGGTTTCCAGGAAACAAACAGATCAAGTTGTTTCTTCAATCTAGAGGCAAACATATCAATTATTGACATTTAAAATAATTTTACAATTTGTTTAAAAACATTTCTGTTAAGCTGCCATTCAACATTTTCATTGAAATTTTTACTTTGAAAATCTTCCTAGTTATTAATACTTGGAATGTGTGTAGCAGAAAGCCATATATATTTTTCTTTAAACATAAAGCCATATTTATTTGGCATATTTGTTACAAACTTCAGATTTTATACCTCCTTAATTCATGATATAGGAAACAACACAAGTATTATCCGTATAAATTTTTACCTGAATGTCTTTTTGAGTAAGCAAAACGACTTGACAGCATGGGAAACTGCTAACAATACGAGAACATTGATATGAATATCAGATTCTAAAGAGGTCCATCTACCTTCCCCAGTCTTCCCCAGCCAACTTAACTCGCATCCGTTGTAATAAAAAATCTGAATTGTCGTTAGAAATATATCATTTTAATGGCTAGAATCCACCATTTAATTATATAATTAATTTCATCTGATATAACCATAATATGCATTGTAATTCCCTTTTCCCTTTATTTTGCTTTAATGAAAAAAAAAAAAACACACAACAAAATTTTTATGGCAGCTTTCACTAAAACATTTTGTATGGCTTGAAATTTAACATCGTCAAACTGAGAGTGGGGTTTCAGCAGAGGCCAAATACAACCATTCACCATTGTTTACACCAAAGACTCACATTTTACTGGGCTGTGAATTTCTTTTGCAATATTGGGCAATGAATCCTCAGTGATGCTATTGCGGTAGGAATTGTTAACAAAACTAGCGAGATCATCATTGATTTCAGTGTCACTTTTTTCTACACTGAAATTTGTCACACAAATTTCTAAATATGTCGCTCTCATTACAGGTTTTCTTGCGTGGTGGCTGAGAATCTTCATGAAAAGATGAGCGGGAATCACTTTCATTGGATACAACGCTGTGATTGTCAGAAAACACATGTCATTACAATTGTTGTCAAGATAATAATAGTCATTTTCATCATATTCATACAAATCATCAACCCTCTTAGATAGATTTTCTAGTTAAGAACCTTGTCTCGTAACATTTGCGTTCAGTTCTTGCAAAATTTCGATAACTGCATCGTTAATTTTCTCGTGGACACTTTACCACGTGACTCACTTTTACGCCCCTCGGACGCAATAGATTTACCAGCAGACGTTGATTTATCACATTTCTTTTTCAACATCCTTAGACATGTTACATCCAGATGTTCCTTGATTTACAACTTTCCTTGCTGCATTCGCCATGATGGAAAGCACGTGGTGCAATAAGAATTCCTTACACTATTAGCTATTAATTGTATGTGATTAATAAAGTGTGTTATGTTGTGTTTTTATGTTATGTTTACGCTGTAAAATTTATATGGCAACTTTCCAGCTTTACTGTCGGAACCACTGACGATACGTTAGCTAGCTGGATAGCTTCGTCACATGAAAGTCATCAAATTCCCTTTCGGGATTCGAACACCACAGTGGTGAGGGTAAGTGATTTGACACATTGAATACTTTTGTTAATAAGCATACAGCCCAAAACTATATACAAAGCTTTTTTCATGGCGATTTGACTTTCATTCACAACAGAACTGTATCGTAGAATAGATAAACTGTATCATAAATTGCTTAATAACTTTTTTTTATTCGATACGAGCTGACCAAATAGGTGACGTTGACTCGAAATATTTTTGATCCTGTGCATAATCTCCATACTGTCATCTATCCATATATCAAGTTTCATAAACATAATTCCAGTACTTTTTGTGTTATCGCGGGATCCAGTTTTGTGGACAGACGGACGTACTCACAAAATGGTACTTATGTGACTTTTCCTTTGATCTTTTTGGCCATTTTTAGTCACACAAGGCTTAAAGAAAGACACACAAGTAAAAACGGAATGAATAGGATCAAAGTGAATTTACTGTTACCCATTGTTCTCCAAGTCACACAAGTACCTCTGGGTTCGTACGGACGGACAGAGGGTAAAGCTAAAGTCCCCTCCGGTTAACCTGTAGGGGACTAAAAACATTTCTTTATGAAAGGTCCAAATTCTAGAGGGATAATTCTGATAATTTTGGTGCTAGACTTAGGAAACCTGTCACATATGATGTGGTTTATGACCAGAAACATATATTGCAAGTATGAAGTAAACACGTTAAGAAAACGAAGATAGTTTTCTGTCCAACACCTCTGCGTTACAAAGCTTTAGTAGGCCAATAACCGCAATTATATTGTTATAAACCATGCACGTTATATTGCGGTACTACATATATAATTTGACAAATACTAAAATCTATGCTACTACATTTTGGGACAAACTGATAAATCAAATAAACAAAACCCATGTTTTCAAATTTACTCAGTTAAAGCAAAGTTCACATACACAGTTTAATGATATAATGTAATAACATTATTCTTCAAACATAATTCATATATAATCATATATAATGTTTAAGCATTAAAATCAAACATATCACAGTGAGAAAATAAAGGGTAACTATAAATATATACAGGTCCTATTCTTCCAAAATAGCAAATAAATATTCCTTTCTAAACTTGACAACTACAAAAACAACATGATTAATTATTGCCCAAAGTCTTATCTACCTAATTGTTAATGTCATAAACAATCTTCGCTAAGAATATGAATGAGTTTGACTTGATCGATGAAAAAATGCATTCATTGACAAATAAGTACTTTTTAATATGTAAATGCTATGACCTATAATTTGAATTTAAAACATTTTTTTTTGGAAGTAATGTTTTAAATATAACATACATGTATGTATTACTGATTTGTGTTCAAGCTGTGACCCTGGCAGCCTTTACTTTGTAATCCTGGAGAACCACAAAAAACCATAAGAATGTTCATGCATTACAAAATTATCTTAATATATATTTGTATGATTACCAACAAGCACATCAAGAAGAAGGTGAATTAAAAACCAATAAAAATACACAGATTTATCTATATGATGTCTTTGACCAGGTGAAATCCCACAGAATCATTAAACACAACAAAATATATGAAAATTGCAGGCTCCGTTTGCTTGAGTCTGTTCATGGAGATAATGGAAAGAGCACAATGCATAGATGAAATAAATCAAAATAAATATGCATTGTTTTAATGTAAACATCACAACATATTGAACATGCCATCAGGGCCATCTCATACTTTACTGCTGACTGCCTTACCTTATAATATTAGTGCACATTAAGTGGACTGTTAATAAATCAAGGTAAGAAAAGTACATGACACAAATTCAGCAAAGTTATATATAGTTAAACTGATTCAATTACATATCCATTCAATCCAAACTTGAGCTCATGATACCAATTAAACATCTCTGATACCAATTAAACATCTATGAATGAACCAAATATAACTACATATTTACAGAAACTAACAAATGATAGAGATATATTAATAGAACCCAAGTGAATGATCTAAATTTGTAGTCAAGGTCGTTTCTCCCACATTTTTGTCAGACATACAAACAGTTAACTATATTTGCATGCACTCAAAGATTCAAAAAGCATGTCACATCACATGCTATAAATAAACAATGGTTAATCCCAAAATGAATTATTCCTCCATATGAACACTTTTACTTCCAGCAATATTCATACTCATCCTCTTTTTTTGTCAATGTTACAAGGAACATGACTTTCATTGAATATCTTGCCAGATCTCTAAGATGAGCATTTGTTGCTATGGTAACCATTGTTGTCATATCCTGGAGATTTTTACAAGAGGAGATAGAGTATCAGTATGAACAATCCCACACATCACTATTTAGGAGAGTTTTCTTGTTAATGATCATATTAAATGTTGTACAATATAATATTACATCATAACATTGCATCATATCATCCACTTGGTGGTAACACTGGAAGTCTCTCTGACAGGATTTCATTCTGAAATAAATAAAAACAGTTTTATATAAAATACATCAATCAATTAAGAACTTAATTAAGCTTAATTTTGATCAATTTTTAAAAAAGACTTGTATAATTTACTTGCACCTGAATTTATTCCCACATAAAACATTTAATTTTTTAAACAGAATAAGCCATGTTCTTACAGCATACACACATACATTTTTAATACAGAAGTATGACAGAATATCTTAGAAAACCATGGGCAATGTAGTTCCAATTTCACGACTTTGCTGCTCTGAAACGTATTTTAAGCCATAAAGTAAGTAAAATTTGCCTGCCATTATTAAAGTTTAACATAAAAGCTCAATTTTACATTAATCTCTATATTGACTATATAGCACATAGAGAAAACATTTGCACAAGCTCTTGATTTAATGAAAAGAAAGCCTTGATAGCCTTTATCATTAAACATTAAATTCTAATTATAATTCACAGTGAAACATTGATTTTCAATAGAAATTATTCAAAACCAAAAAGAAGCTACCCCTAGCCATATCAACAGGTAGGTTTTACTGTAGTGTGGACTAAAAAGAATTTAGAAATGACCATGCACTTTCTAACCCAGTGACAAATAACTAAATATAGATAAACATGCAGGATAGAAAAGAAATAAACATAAAACTATCTTCATGCATAATTTATGTTAATTTTATGTGCATCAAGAATCCTGATAAGTGTGGAAAATATGATAATCTTTATCATGCTAAATATCTTAAATTGACTTGTCCATCTCTTAATTTGGACAAAACCATTCACCATTTTCAGAGAAAATTTCAAAATAATTATGTACTGACAGAATAGGGAACAGTGAAGACCATGATCAGATGGCATGACACAGTCATCAGCGGAGCTTGATCTCCACTGGTCACATGAGTCGATTAAGTTAATTGAGATGTTTGATTACAATAAATATATATCTTTATTGCCTTCATTTGACAGAATATTTAAATATAACTTTCCTATTAAACATGTCATAATTAAAGAAACTACTGAAATCAGGTAACATAGTCTTGTGATGCAAGTAACAATTTTTAAGTAAAATGCTTGTTTGCTATTATAATCAGTACAAAGAAAAGTAGTAATTTTGGGACTCGAAAAATTTCCAAGATACGACTGAATAAAACTGTAGCAGGGAAACAGTAAAGCAACAAGAATAGGATTTCAGTACATATACATCCATGTGCTGCCAGGTGCTGTCATGTGCTGTACAACCACCTTAGAAGAAAATATTCCATAAACCAAATATCTGATATTAAAAGAGTGCAAACTCACATACCTCCAAACAATTAAACAGTACTAAGCCGGTTTTGCATTGGCTAATTTGACACCATCTTTCAAAGCATTCAGGAGTGGACCTTTCTGATTGGCTAATTGTTTTACTGCTGCAGTGACTGTTTTGTTAACAGCTTTTACAACAGTGTCTGCCATTGGTTCAATTACTTTTTTAGCCTGGTGAGTCATTTCTAAAATTAGAATATGACTGTTGCTATTAATTGTGTAGGTTAGTTGAAGAGAAGATCACAATGAAAGAACTATGTGTAATAGTAGAGATCAAAAGCTATTTTAGTATTAAGTGCAGGTGTTTAAAAAACCTCCAGGAATTTAACAGTTTTCATTTACAAGCTGAAGAATGATGACTTTATGATATATTATGTCCTACAAATTAAAGTAATATAACGTGTCATTAATATCACTATTTGAATATCCGATTTCTTAAAATAAGGCTCATTTTGTATGGCAGTGCTTGAAAAATAAAAAGATCATTTTAGATTTTGAGATTGCACATATACTTAACACATAGTGTAAACTATTTATGGCTATTATAATTATGTAGTGATAAATGTGACAGACTGGTAATGTAGCCATATGGGTTCATTCCCCATTAGTGGCAAGTCATTGTTTCCTTGAGCTAGAAACTTTACACTCATTGCTTAGTACTGGTTTGTGTCAGAAAAAGATTTAAGGGCATAGCTTCCTACACAATTGACTAAAATAAATTTCTGTATAGACCGTATTTGCCATGTGAATAAATCTTTGCAACTCCTGGCTAAAACTGCATAAATTATTTTTCAAATCAGTAATTAAGTTAATTCATGTACATAAATTTGTTCATGCTATTTCTTCTATCATTTAAACAAGACTGTGTAAATTTAATATATTAAACAAGAGGGCCATGATGGCCCTGAGGTCGCTCACCTGTATATAGCCCCCCCCCCCGGCCAATTTTACCCAAGGGCTTTTATTTGTTTATTTGAACAGACTTGGTAGACACCCATAAGAAGATGTTTCATGCTAAACATCTAAGTTCTAGCTCATTGGGTTTTTTAAAAGAAGATTTTTTAAGTTTTTACTATACACATATATTTAAAAACAATGACACCCCTGGGGCAGGGCCAGTTTTGACCCCCGGGCTTTTATTTGAACAAACTTTGTAGATATTTACTTAAAGATGTTTCATGCTTAATATCTAAACTCTAGCTATTTGGGTTTTTTCAAAGAAGATTTTTAAGTTTTTGCTATACACATATAAGGAAAATCAATGACCCCCGGGGTGGGGCCAGGGCTATCTTAGCTCTAGCTCTTTGGGTTTTTTAAAAGAAGATTTTTTAAGTTTTTACTATATGCATATAGAGAAAATCAATGACCCCCTGGGGCGGGGCCAATTTTGACCCCAGGGCTTTTATTTGAACAAACTTGGTAGACATTCATAAGAAGATGTTTCATGCCAAATATCTAAGCTCTAGCTCTTACAGTTCTTTAAAAGAAGATTTTTTAAGTTTTTACTATATGCATATAGGGAAAATAAATGACCCCCGGGGCGGGGCCAATTTTGACCCCAGGGCTTTTATTTGAACAAACTTGGTAGACACTCACTAGAAGATGTTTCATGCCAAATATCTTAGCTCTAGCTCTTTGGGTTCTTTAAAAGAAGATTTTTTAAGTTTTTACTATATGCATATAGGGAAAATCTATGACCCCCTGGGGCAGGGCCAATTTTGACCTCAGGGCTTTTATTTGAACAAACTTGGTAGACACTCATTAGAAGATGTTTCATGCTAAATATCTTAGCTCTAGCTCTTTGGGTTCTTTAAAAGAAGATTTTTTAAGTTTTTACTATATGCATATAGGGAAAATCAATGACCCCCTGGGGCGGGGCCAATTTTGATCCCAGGGCTTTTATTTGAACAAACTTTGTAGACATTCACTAGAAGATGTTTCATGCCAAATATCTAAGCTCTAGCTCTTACAGTTCTTTAAAAGAAGATTTTTTAAGTTTTTACTATATGCATATAGGGAAAATCAATGACCCCCCCCGGGCGGGGCCAATTTTGATCCCAGGGCTTTTATTTGAACAAACTTGGTAGACACTCACTAGAAGATGTTTCATGCCAAATATCTTAGCTCTAGCTCTTTGGGTTCTTTAAAAGAAGATTTTTTAAGTTTTTACTATATGCATATAGGGAAAATCTATGACCCCCTAGGGCAGGGCCAATTTTGACCCCAGGGCTTTTATTTGAACAAACTTGGTAGACACTCACTAGAAGATGTTTCATGCCAAATATCTTAGCTCTAGCTCTTTGGGTTCTTTAAAAGAAGATTTTTTAAGTTTTTACTATATGCATATAGGGAAAATCAATGACCCCCTGGGGCGGGGCCAATTTTGACCCAAGGGCTTTTATTTGAACAAACTTGGTAGACACTCATTAGAAGATGTTTCATGCCAAATATCTAAGCTCTAGCTCTTAGGGTTGTTTAAAAGAAGATATTTAAAGATTTTTCTTTTGGTTGCCATGGCAAGTTCTGCATGGAATTAAATTCTTTGAACAATTTTTAAAGGTGACCACCAAAGGAACATTCCTGTGAAGTTTGGATGAAATTGGCTCAGTGGTTTATGAGGAGATGTCATTTAAAGCAAAAGGTTACCGACGGACGCCGGACGCCGGACGAAAAGCGATCACAAAAGCTCACCCTGTCACTTTGTGACAGGTGAGCTAAAAAACGATGTCATTTAAAACAAACAAAACTTGATCTTACACAAATTTGACAATTTTCAAGATGCAATATTTAAATATAAACAACATCTAGTACCACTGTCTAACTGTTTACTAATCACACACAACACATGTACCTTTATTAATATAAACACCACCAAGTCCTAATGGATGATTTAATTTTCCTTTTCTATCTAGAATAGTTACAAGAAAGATGGTTAGTGTGTCTATCAATGAAACAATGTCATATGATAACAAAATCATAAAATTACCATGCATTTAATAACTGAAAAGTTAGTATGAATGTTATTTATATTCTTGTTTAGTATGGGTAGGTTCTGTCTTAATAATATCTGTCATATGTTGCGGTTCAGATTGGAATATCCGTCCCAAGGGGACCTCGCCCATTGAGCAGTAACTTTAATAACAATGGCGAAATGACGTCATCCTAAGCTCATAGTTTCTTTCTAAAATGATGTCATTAACATGATTTATTCATTAAATGTGCTAAATTGACGTTGTTTTATTGCACGCAACTCATCTGGCACCCCCATGCCAGATGAGATTTCCGTCATGGGTAAAACTCACGGAAACGCCAGTCTGCTATGCAAGAATATTGAAAGTAATACAATTCATGCCCATTTGATTTTTTTTAAAGTCTTAAAACGGGTAAGCCAATAAAAACAATCAACTGCTCATATTAAAGCTGGCTTGATAGCCTCTTGACATGAAGTAATTTTAAGTTTCCTATAAGAAATAAAATATAAAACATTAATATCACAGGGCAAAGGATTTAACATCAGACAATAGTATATATAATATGATTATCATAAGATGAATTACTGCTTATAAAATAATACAAGGTTAGAAGATGTGTTCATGTTACCAGATTTGTTAATAATCTATACAGAAAATTTTTAAGATTTACTGCGTAATAGAGATTTTCATTCTGTTAAGATGTTAAACTAAGTACATTTGATAGACATTACAGGATGAACACATGTATGTATAGTTAGCTTAATAATATTAAGACAAAAGATTGTCATACATTTTTTTAAAAGAAAGTTGCTTTAAATGTCCCTTTGTAAGCATTTAGAGTTGTTAAAAGATAATCTTCAAAGAAAATCTCTCCTGAAGTAAAGAGAGACCATGATATATTTTCCCATACAAGTTTTTAGTAAAGCAAACTACAGATAGAAAGATAGGTAAGTGAATTAACTTGATGTATTTTGCAATTAATGGTATGTTTAAAACTAAAATAATCAAACATATAAAAGGTAAATGTTAGTTTTAACTATGAAAATAAAAATAAAGTAAGTAATTACTTAAGTTTGGTATATACTAGCTTAAAAATTACCACAGAAGAAATAGGAAGATTATCTCATTGCTAATATGTTAAACAATGCAAGAACTGCACTCTAATTTAAACAAAAAATTCTAGCTGTGACCCAATCTATAAAACATGTGATATACACAATGCAACTTCAGTGACATTTTCCAACTACCCCATGTTCAATTAACAAGTAATTATTTAACATTATACATACTTGCAGCAACTGTTGGTGGATTAACTCCCTTTGTAGGTATAATCACTGGTTTCTCCATCATCACAGGGTTTTGATGGAACACTTCAGATAAATCTATAAATAAACAAGCAATTATCATAGTATTGCAAGCAATGCATAAGTCCCCTACCGGTTAGAACCCCATCAACATTCTGAAGGGCCATTGGCCATTCACTTATGTTTCAATTTTTCTCTATTTTAAGTAAACTTGTTGGAAAAGTTCTTTAAAAGTGATCACAGGAAACATTTTTATGAACAGACAGACAGACGGACTGAAGGACACTCTAAAGTTAATATTTGAAACATCCCTGTTACCAAAATATAACATTTTAAAAGCAGAATTCTTAAAGAGGAGATAACTCTTGAATTAAAGATGCAATTTCATAAAAATTTTCAGCTCTTTTTGACTAATCACAAATATTGTTATATTTGCCATGTTTTAAGCCTATTTGTTGCCAAGGCAACTGATATTTTTTCAAAATAGGAAGAACAGATAAGTAAGTAAGTAAGTAAGTAAGTAAGTAACGACTTTATTTAATGAGGCTAACACATTCAGTTTCCCGATCTTCCATGCGGGCCTCAGTATATACAAAACAACATAAAATACAATCACAATCAACATTTAGACAACAAAATATGTACATTATAAACATCATATCAATACAATAAATAAGTAAACATTTTTTTCTTCTTACATTATAAGAAGTGACATTTTCATAACTTCAGCATGGAAAGTACAAAAAAGTAGATCAATGTTGAAGAATTAGACATTTATAGGGCTGTTCTAATAACAGTTTTTATTATTCTTTTTATTTTAAACATTAAATTATTGTTTCTGGAAACAATATGTACAATCAATTAATTAGAAAATTGCCATTGGATATAGGAGGCTTGAAATTTCCTCAGGGTATCAGAATTTCGAATATGGATTGGTATGTTGTTCCATACCACAGGACCAGAGTAATTAAATGATTTTCTAAAAAATTCTGTTTTTGGCTTAGGTACAGTTAGTTTTCCATTCTGTATAGATCTTAAGTTAAAGTCATGTTTGTCATTTACTGTTTGGAATTTATTTTTCATATAAACAGGAAAAGATGGTTCATTTATAGATTTATACATGAGGATTGCCTTTTTATACATATTAAATTCTTTTGTCAAAAGACATTCAGTTTAATTCTTTGAATAAAACATTTGATGGGGTATCAAAACTTTTGTCTAAAATAATTCTTGCAGCTCTTTTTTGAAAGTTGACAATTTGTGAAAGTAATTCACTACTGCAGTTTCCCCAAATAGTGCAACAGTAGTCAATATGTGGCAGAATATAAGCATTAAAAAAGAGTTTTCTTGAGTGGAGATCAAGGTACTGTTTGATTCTGAGAAGCAAATAGAGCTGTGAATTGCATTTTTTAATAGTATTTTGAATTTGTGTTTTCCATTTAAGATTTTTGTCAACATGGACTCCTAGAAGTTTTTCAGTGTCTGTAAATTCTATCTCTTTGTTGTGAAGGTGCAGAGTAGATGAATCGGTATTTTTTGATTTAGTATTTTTTATAGAGAAATTTATGGCCTTAGTTTTTTGTGCATTTAATATCATTGCATTTTGCCTACACCATGTGCTAACACTATCAAGATCTGTTTGAAGATTATCATTCATTTCCTTTAAAGTACTTCCCGTAGAAGTTAGAGAAGTGTCGTCTGCGAACATATCAGTAGTTGACTGTTTAACATGAAGATGGATGTCATTAATGTATATCAAAAATAGTAGGGGCCCAAGGACTGAGCCCTGAGGCACTCCTGAGACGACTTCAGCTGGTTCAGATAAAACACCAGACACATTGACTTTTTGTGACCTGTCTGATAGATAAGATCTTATCCAATTAATAGCATGTGAAGAGAAATTATAGAAAGGTAGTTTTTCTAGAAGAATTTGGTGGTTCACTAAATCAAAGGCTTTTGATAAGTCTAGAAAAACAGTTTGCCATCATTCAGAGCACTGATCCAATTATCAATTATATTTGTAAGAGCTGTCTCACATGAATGATGTGCCCTGAAACCTGATTGAGCAGTGTAAAGTAAATTGTTTGTTTCTAAATAGAACTTAAAGTGGTCTGATACATGTTTTTCAATTATTTTAGATATAAGAGGAAGTACTGAAATTGGTCTATAATTATTTTTGTCTACCTTTGTTCCTTTTTTGTAAATTGGTGTTACCTTTGACTGTTTTAGCTGTGTTGGAAATTTTCCACTTTTTATGCTTAAATTTATAATACTACATAGAGGTTTACTTATGACATCAGCTGCTGTTTTTAGGAATTTTGCACCAATACCATCTAGGCCTGTTGCTTTTGTGGCATCAAGACTATTCAGTTTCTGATTTACATAGCTCAAGTCAACAAAGGGGATTTCAAATTGATTTGACTGATTTGGAATTTTGGATTTAACCGATTCTTGTAAAGCAGTTTTCAGTTCATGTGACAATCCTTCTGATACATTTTCAGCTTTTTCAAATACGTTTGCAAAGAAAGTATTAAAGGTTTCTGCTGTTAATTTTGGATCAGTTATCGGTAAACCATTCTGATCATTTATGTAAGAATTTTGTTGAACATTTGTTTTGCCTGATAGGTTTTTCAAGTTTTTCCACAGTTTTTTTTAATCTTTCTTATTTGAGTTTATCTCATAATTAAAGAAATCTTTTTTTGCTGTATGAATTAGTTTTTTCACTTTTAATTTCCAATATTTGAAGTTATCAACATTATTTTTCTTTTTTGCATAGTCCCTGTTATGTATTGCATTTGCTATATCCTCATTGAACCAATCAGCTTGATTTTTATGCTTTACTCTTTTTTGTTTGTAAGGAGCATGTATATTAAGAGTTTCTAAAAATAATTTGTTAAAGGTGTCTAAAGCGTCATCTGGATCATTAAACATATCAATAAGGGACCACGGTTGTTTTGACAGATCATCTAGAAATTTATCAGCATTGAAGTTCTTTAAGTACCTGTATTTGATTGTAAGATGCATAGGACCTTTTTTAACATTTTTCATAGTTCGTTTTGTGAAAATTATTGGAAAGTGGTCACTAATAGAAAGTATAGGGACAGCAATGTATGATATATTTTGTGATTGATTACTATAGACATGATCAATAATAGTTGATGATGTTGATGTAACTCTTGTAGGCTGTGTTATAAGTTGTGACAGATTAAATGTATTTATAATATTATTCCATGCTGAGTTATTTAAACCTGTAGTTCCAAAATTAAAGTTAAAATCGCCAAAAAGAATTATTTCTTTGTTTTCAACAAATATTTTTTCAAGGATTTCTTCAATGTTATCATTCCATGAAGTTAATGATGAAGGTGGCCTATAAATGTAACCTACCAAAAAAGGTTTTTGCTTTTCAAGTTTCATTTCGAGCCAAATTGATTCAATATTTTCAGATTGTAAATCAGATCTTAGTTCACATGGTAATGAATTTTTAACAAACAAAACAAGTCCACCACCATTTGATTTTCTGTCACGTCTAAAGAGTTGATAATTGTTTAAAGATATTTCTGAGTCAGCAAAAACATCACTTAGGAAAGTTTCTTGTAGACCTAATATGTCAATGTCCGGATATTTGTCAACTAAATATTTGATATCATCTAGTTTAGGGTACAGGTAGTGAATGTTTAAATGAAAAAAGTTAATTCCTTTTTTGTCGAATGTTATTTCACTCAAAGTTTGATGAGGCAAATCTGTTCTTTCATTATATTCCATAGAATTTAGATTTTCAGAAATTTGTTTAATATGGTTTTTTATTTGTTGGTTTTGATCAGTAATGTTCAGTACAGGTTCATCAGGATCATCATTTAGTAAAACTGGTGTGGTCCCATCCTTGTTGTCCTTGGCCAGGGATCCCAGGGTCCCTGATACATTTGGAATCTTTGTTGGGGATGTTGATGTCGCCGAGCATATCCATGCCAGATGTTGGCATTCCGAAAATTTACACTTTCTCTAGAGAAATTGTTTTCTTGTTGTCTGGAACTGTAACTATTAATCCCTAGAATTTTTCTAATGCCTGCATTAATTTGCCTTCCCAATAAAGCTGAACCTTCTTTATTTAGCTGTACTTCATCATAGTAGAGATTCTGATTTACCTTATCATATTTCATGAATGCGCTACTATTATCTAGGAAGAGGAATCCTTTGTTCTTGCAAAGCTTTTCTAGCAAACTATTTGCTTCATCAATATTTTTTTTTTGATAATAAATCTCTCCTTTTTGGAAGAATGGATGATACAGCTATTTTCACATTTTGGTTTGCTGATTGTATGGAAGTAACTAGATTAGTAAAATCTTCACATATGGACTGAGGAGAGTTCGCATTTGAGATGTTTTTAATGCCTGTGTGTAGGACGATTATATCAGCTTCTTTTGTCTGTGTTTTATTGTGAGTTATTATCTTATTTATGTCCTGAATAGTGGCTTCACTGGTTGATTTTATGCTTACATTTACTTGTTGTGAGCTCATTTTCTTTCGTATTAGTCCCTTTGTTACTGAATCCCCAAGGATGAGTACCTCATATTTCTTTGTTGTTGGATTTGTGCTTCTTCCAGGTGTAGATGAATTTTTTTCTGTGTCAACTGGTTTTTGGCACGGCTTTGATGGTGATAATGACTTTGTATTATTTGATGATGTGACAAAGTCTTTTGTGTTTTGGTTCGCAGTCTGGCCTGTTGTTGATATTTCATTTTGAATACCACCATCATTGACAAGTTCTTTCCTTAGAAGATGGATTTCATGCTGGAGTGAGTTAATGTCTGTTTTTGATGGCGCATTCTCTATTCTGTTTTTCACAAGGTCAAGTGAGCTTGCAAGTTCCTCGAATTGTTCTTTTATTGATAATACGTCTGTCTGGAGTGTGTTGATACAGTCTTGTTCTATTTGTTTTGCAGAGGCCTTTTCACGCAATGCTTTATTTTCTTGTTTTAAGGACTGATTTGTAATTTTTAGTTTTGACATTTCCTCTTCAAGTATTAAGATTTTAGCATTTTGGTCACTATTAGATGTTTTATTTTCTGAGAGTCTGTCCTTTAAGTTGTTGATAACTGACTGAAGTTTTTCATTTTCCGATTTGAGATTAAGAATATCAGTGTCTTGGCTTTTGCTGTAGTTCATGTTTAAAAACCTCTTGAAGAGGTCACACTGTACTGAGAAATCACATTTTTTCTGTAGTTGAAGAACGAGATATTACTGATTTAGGACTGCTGCTGATACTTGAATGTGACAGACTTGTTGTATCACTGTTAATTTCATAGCTATCATCTTCACTCACGCTGATGATAGATTTGACATGGGTTTCCTCGTTTAGAGATTTTACAGAAGTTTCATTTCTTTGTACTTTGTAATTCACAGTTTGACTCTGTGTTTCAGTAGGCTTTTGATGATATTGTTTAAAGTTTGAATTTATTGGGCTTGCACTTTTAGCTGGATAATTTGCTGGTCTGGAAAGCTTCTTTTCATTTGAAGTTGACTGAATTTCTTGTAGCTTTTTACTGAAATACTCCTGATCAATTTCAAATCCTCCTTTCTTTGCTGCCTTTTTAGCTTTTTTCATTTCTTTTCCCAGTTTTAATATTTCTTTGTCAAGGGATGGGCCAAATAGTACATTAGATACTGTGCTAAGGAGGCTGCTAGATTTTCTTTTAGTATTTGGTTTTCTAGCTTGTGTCTCAGGGCTGCAGCTGTTAAAATTTGTTTCAGATCTGCATTCGTTGGGTTTTGTGAGTTCTAGATTTATTTTGTCCAGCATTGTCTCCAGCCATAATCTACAACCACTTCCCTGGATTAACATTGTCATTGTGTTGTAGATTGTTAAAACCACTTTCTTTTCAGACAGTGTAATTGTTGCTGATAATCCAGTATTGTCCTTGGTAGGTGAAAGTGTGTACATTGACTGTAGTATTTGCAACATTTTAGCATGTGTTGTTTCTTTGTAGAATGTAATAGATACATTATCACTAGTCTGGCTTACATATAGATTAAAGAGATTGTTTGTTATAAAACCTGTAGACATGTCATTATCTGTAAATCCTTCAAATTCCTCCATATCTACAGATGTATTATTTGAAGCCATTAGATTTGTATTGTCCAATTAATCCCTATTGTAATTTGTCTGTGCTTGTAATCACAAGTTTGGTTAAGGTATGTTTGGTATGCAAGGTGAGAATTTTAGAATTTCATAGATTTCCAATATTTAGAAAAAAATGAACTTTTTTCACCAAATTAAGAAGAAACTAATCAAAATTATCCCAAATTATTTCCACAGTAAGATGCACACTGTTTTAAAGAACACAGTCATATAAAAATGTCCAGTATATTCCAAGTTAATCCATTTTAATTCCATCTGTCTGTCTGTCCATCTGTAGGTTACACTTTCGTGTCCATTCTATAACTTAAACCAAATTTATGGAAAAAAGACATGCATAATCTCAACACTGCTATTTACCCATATGTCAAGTTTCATAAAAATATTTCCAGTACTTTTTGAGTTATCACTGGATTCAGTTTATGTGTAAAATTTGCCATATTTTCAGTCTATGTGTTGCCATAGCAACCAGAATTTTCAACATAGGAAGAAAAGAAAAAGACGTGCATAATCTCAAGACTGCCATCTACCCATATGTCAAGTTTCATAAAAATATTTCCAGTACTTTTTGCTTTATCACTGGATCCAGTTTATGTGTAAAATTTGCCATATTTTCAGCCTATTTGTTGTCATAGCAACCAGAATTTTCAACATAGGAAGAAAAGAAAAAGACGTGCATAATTCCAAGACTGCCATCTACCCATATGTCAAGTTTCATAAAAATATTTCCAGTACTTTTTGCTTTATCACTGGATCCAGTTTATGTGTAAAATTTGCCATATTTTCAGCCTATTTGTTGCCATAGCAACCAGAATTTTCAACATAGGAAGAAAAGAAAAAGACGTGCATAATTCCAAGACTGCCATCTACCCATATGTCAAGTTTCATAAAAATATTTCCAGTACTTTTTGCTTTATCACTGGATCCAGTTTATGTGTAAAATTTGCCATATTTTCAGCCTATTTGTTGCCATAGCAACCAGAATTTTCAACATAGGAAGAAAAGAAAAAGACGTGCATAATTCCAAGACTGCCATCTACCCATATGTCAAGTTTCATAAAAATATTTCCAGTACTTTTTGCTTTATCACTGGATCCAGTTTATGTGTAAAATTTGCCATATTTTCAGCCTATTTGTTGCCATAGCAACCAGAATTTTCAACATAGGAAGAAAAGAAAAAGACGTGCATAATTCCAAGACTGCCATCTACCCATATGTCAAGTTTCATAAAAATATTTCCAGTACTTTTTGCGTTATCACTGGATCCAGTTTATGTGTAAAATTTGCCATATTTTTAGCCTATTTGTTGCCATAGCAACCAGAATTTTCAACATAGCAGGGTGATCCAAAATATCTGATATCATTTCAGCTTCTTGTATGTTTTACATACATCACACGATTTTAAATATCAACACAAATATTTAAACTAGAGATTTTAAAGTTTTATTTAACATTAAAGTCATTCTGTTTAATAAAAAACTAAAAATGAATTTCACCAAACAAAATTTACATCAAATGTTCAATATGACGTCCATTTTTGTGCTACTACGACGTCAAGTCTCTATTAAAAATTTTCAATAGCGTTAACACACATTGCAGGTGTAATTTTTCTTATTTCTCTGCGAATGGCTGACTTTAGCTGCTCAAGGGTGTCTGGCTTTGGATTGTAAACATTGTCTTTTAAGTGTCCCCATAGAAAAAAATCTAACGGACTTAGATCAGGTGAGTGTGGAGGTCATACTTTGTCTGATTTAAATGAGATAAATTTTCTGCCAAATGTTTCTTTCAACCATTCCAACACGTGTCCCGCAGTGTGTGGTGCCGCTCCATCTTGCTGAAACTATATTGTATTAATGTTAATACCTTTTCTTCGTAAGGCTGGCAGAAATTTTGTCTTCAAGAGAGAAAGATATCGCTCACTATTCATTGTTTTGGTTTCACCTTTCGATTAAAAAAAGAATGGTCCAATCACACCAGTCGAACTCAACGCTGCCCACACTGTCACCTTGTCATCATGAAGAGGCTTTTCTAAGTAGAATGTTGGTTTCTCTTTACTCCAAACTCGACATTTCTGCTTGTTTACAGCGGCATTTAAATAAAAATGTGATTCGTCTGAAAACCATATTTTATCAATTGTGGTTACATTATCAATCATCCAACGAGCAAACTCTAATCTGCTGTTAATGTCTGTTTCTTTCAAATGTTGCATAATCGATAACGAATAGGTAAAACAAATTCAAATCAAAACGCAATGCCCTATGTACACTTCCATAACTAGACTTATTGGTAATGTCTCCAAGAACTTTTCTCACAGATTGTTGTGGTGTCTCCTGAATCACTTGCTGGATCTCTGCCACGTTCTCTAAACTGCGCCTTGATCTTTGTAACAATGTCCACTGTTGTTGTGTCGGCTATCCTCAACTGACCCTGTCTGCTTAAATCTATTTACAAGCCTATGCACCTGAAGCTTTGTGAGTCTGTCATCATCAGGATATTTTTTCTGCATCATGAGAATAACAATAACTGGAGACTTAGTCTCAAAATAAAGTTTAACTTTTACTGCAGCTTTCTGTTGTGACGTCGCCATCTTGAAAAACAACTATTATTTGATGACGTCATCTATGACGTCATGACGTTAACGTTTTCCCGTAAATTAATTATGACAGAAACTTATGACAATTCTCTTTACAATGGTATATAACACTTAATAATTGCATCAGGAATGCCTTATTTATTCAACTTCAAAACAGTATCAGATATTTTGGATCACCCTGAAGAAAAGAAAAAGACGTGCATAATCTCCATACTGCCATCTATCCATATACCAAGTTTCATAAAAATATTTCCAGTACTTTTCAAGTTATCGCGGGATCCAGTTTTGTGGACGGACGGACTGACAGACGGACGGACAGACAGACGGACGGACAGACGGACGGTAAACCTAAAGTCCCCTCCGGTAAACCGGTAGGGGACTAATAAGATGCCGCACATGATAATGTTTGTTGTTATATAGAGGATATTTGTTGGTTTCAGAGTAAGGTCAAAATATATTTCACAAAGTGAATTTCATAAATAATATTTTAACATGACTGACTTAAATGGCTACAACAGAAAAAATTAAAAACTAATGTTCACCAGTGAAATACATATTTATTTTACACATAAAAACAATTTCTGCAGATTGTTTTATTTGTCAAGGGTTATGATATGTTTGTACTGATTTCTGTTGTATAACATCATGTACTCTCTTTCAGGGCATCATCAAATCAAATCAAATAATAATACCATTTTCATTTACTATATCTGATATTCTTCCACATTCAAATAAAGTTCACATTCCTTAACTTACTGGGATATGATCAAAATATAATTCAAAATTATATTTCTTATGATAATAATCTAAAATAGAAAATGTCTACACAACACATAGTGTTAATATATATGGTAAAATCAAATTCACTAAATTTTATCAGCTGACTTAGAAAGTAAGAGTACTGTTTAATGACAGGTACATATTTTAAAATTTCTTGTTTGTGTATTGAAGTAACCTCTCAAGTCATGTTAAAATGGTTAAGTTACATACATGTACAGTAGTTACTTAACAAATAAAATATTACACAAACCTTCCACAATCTGGTGATAAGCAAAATGTAAATAAAGTAGAAATAAGAGATTAAGAGCTGCCACAGCACCACACACAATCATTCTCTGTGTCTGTCCATGTGTCCGTGATAAAATTATAGACACCTGAAATTAATTAATAAAGTTAAAAACATTTAAATAAAATATTTTTCATAATTTCTCTTTCTTGTATATTAGGTAATTTTTTTTCTTCAAAAATCTGCTTTCTTCTGATAAACAGACAAAGAATCCCTCATGTTCAGTTATAAATTTTTGACTATAGGTCTGAAATATGGGGCTGTCATAGGTCACTAGATTTTAGAGTGCATGCAAAAAAGGTTTTAAAATAAGAAAAAGGCATCAGACAAAAAGCAACTTATGCAGCATATTTATGGTGAATTAAGTTTGAGATCTTCTAGCAGTTTAACTTAAGAATAAGATAAAGTATTATTACAAAAGGTTAAGTTTGTTTTGGGTCCTCCTGGGCTCCTTGCCACTGGTTCTTGATGCTGGGTTGCGTTCATTGGTTGCATTCAATGAACGCCGCTTTTCCTTGTTGATCTTGTTTAACATATTTTGAATAAAACTAAGACAAAAACTTACCATTCTGAGTGTGGATAGACCACCAACTATGGCCCACAGAGCATAAAAGAAGAGATGATCATGTGAAGTATGGATAATAGTTCCTAAAAATATTACAACACAATGACTGCCTAAACCATAGCCCTGAAAATATTAAAACAAAAATTCTGTAGACATGTTGTCTTTTAATATTGTTGACGAGAGAGAAAAAGGTTTGCAAAATATACTGTTGATTTGGATATTGCTTCTTTGCAAATCAAGTATAAAAACATACAAATATAGATAATTAAGATGAGGATATGAATGAAAACAGCAAATAACATTAAGAAAAATATATGTGTATATTACGGAAATACAGGTAAGGCTAAGTCACTGATAAGCCATCTTGTGATCAAAGATATCGGTAAGTAATCCACAGGACTAGTCAATGATAGGAAGGACACTGTGATAAGGTAAGATACATATTGAGTCTATCATAAGTTAAGGAAAGTCACAGGTTGGGTATGCCATGTAGCGTATAGAAATAAAAGCAACATGTTAAAGTAAGTCACAGCCAAGCTTATACATGTATGTACATAGAGTGAAATAAAATTTGGACAAGGCTTAAGTGTTGGTCATAGATACAGAAAGCTACATATTTCTTGTTTGTTTGATTTTACATTACTAACACTGTAAAAGTCATATCACTGTATAAGCTATATGGAATTATTTCAGGCATGAACAGGCACCCGAGTAAAACCACTGACATTACATATGCTATCTGAAAGCTTCCTCTTATGAAGAATCTAAATCCTGGATGGAGTTATACCCATAGCAGTGAGAGGCATGTGGTTTGAAGTCAACAACTTAATCACTCTGCCACAGACACCCCCAGAAAATTACATAAAATTAGCATTTAAAACTTACCATCATTGATAAAATCTGTATCAGTGTGAGATGAGTATTACAGACATATGTTAAAACCCAGACAAGACCTGACGCTCCAAACCAGTACGTAAAACATACACCGAATGCTGTACCCATTAATGTCCCTTCCTCCTACAATAATACCAATATTTAAAATTTTATATTAACATCTTTATACACAACAATACAATTTCGCTTCATATGAATTATTGCAATTTTACTGAAAAAAGTCTACATTTAAAGCATATACACAATCTTTTATTACGAATATTACTGCTATGCACGTCTGTCTATGATGCATACACATATTTGATATCAGTAATATTCAATATAGTTCTAACTTAATACTGATCCAAGATTGGAGCATCGTCAAAAAAATATTCTTCCATGCAATAATTCTATGTATACATAACATTTAAGTAAATTTTTGACAGTTGTTGGAACAAGAGAGATCTTTATTAAAGTATGTTTTGCAATGTAAAGATTTGTTTCTTTACAATTCTGCATATTTTTCAGTATGTAAAAATATATAACATATACGTGATTAAAAACAATAATTTCAGTTTGCTGCAAATTTTGGCCTTTTTAAAATTTCTTCAGTAACATAAAGTTTATTTCACATATATACAAAGAAAGGGAGTGGCTGTAACATCAGTGAAAAAGATGCAAAACCTATTATAATAATAATTTGAGAAATATGTATATATATTGTATAATTTTACAATATTCTTATCATAACATCATATTGATAGACTACATGTATATAACAACATTATAGAATGTACCATTTAAACAGTCTAAACCATTAATAGATTTTCAAGACCAGAAACAGAGCAACTATTTGTACGTTATAAGGTATCATACCACTCGATGATCTGCAGTTTTCATCTGGAACAAGAGAAGTGCAATCAGTGTAAATATTATCATCATAGGTCCATACAGCTCCCTGTGAACTTTCTGTCTCTGTTCTGTTGGTCGTTGTGGAACAAATGAATATAATAACCTGTAAAATAAAACAACAACTGCTCTAATCTGTCAACTACTCAGTTTAATAAATCTTGTATTTTGATATTTTGTTTGTTTTGATCATGTGGCACCAAAAAGAGAAAGATGATTTTTAGCTAACATCAGGTGTTACAAACTATAAAGTAAGACCAGGGATCATAACCACCTCACCTCGGCAGCTAAGAGATGCAAAGACTACAGTAAATGATATTGCTACATGTATCTTAAAGATATTAATATGTCCATTATAAACATAAAGCAAGGTAAGGGGTATAACAAGAATTTTCAAAATTAAAAAAAAAGCAATAATTCTGACAAAATTCATGCTGGAGTGATAGGCCTTGGAAAGTGACCTCCAATTATGCTCTCAAATAAATGTATTAACTTACAAGTAAATATCAATAAGTGGTTGATGAGATTTGATGCTGGATGTAAAACTTTAACTGGACGAGTAGGATAGCCCTACTAAAATTTGACTACAAAAATGTAATTTAATAATCTAACAGGCAAATTGTTCAATGTGAGCTAACATAACAATTCTTTTATAAAATATTTTTACATTTGGGAAATCTTCATTCATTTCAAGTGTATACTGCCAATATACATTTTTTTGTA